GGTGGTTGGATGGCATCACCAACTCAGTGGACATGAGTTTGAGCGAACTCAGGGAGATAGTGAAGGACAGGGAAGCCTGGCGTGCTGTAGTCCATGGGGTCTCAAAGAGTCGGATACAACTTAGTGACTGAATACCACCACCACAATTTAATTTTAGAATTTTTGTCTCCCCTTTGAAACAAACCAGTTAGCAGTCACTCCTCATTAGCAGTCACTCCTCATTTCCTTGCCCTGTAGTTTTCTTGCAACTGCTGACTTACTTTTTGCCTCTGAAATTCCCTATTCTGGACATTTCATGTCAATGGGGTCATACAAGATTTAGCCTTTTGTGTCTGACTTCTTTCACTCGGCATATTGTTTCAAGGTTTAGACTTCTGGTATATATCAATACTTCATTTTTATCAGCAAAAGGATGTTATAATACATGCAGTCTGTAGTAAAATGGAATGATATTCCATTGTATAGATATGCCATGTTCTATTCAGTCATCAGTTGAGGACATTTGGGTCATTTCCAGTTTTGGGCCATCATGAATAATGCTGTTATAGACATTCATGTATGTTTTCTGAGGACATTGTGTTTTCATTTTGGGTAGATACCAAAGAGTAGAATTTTTGAGTTACATGATAACCCTGTTTAACTTTTTGAGGAGCTACAAAACTGTTTTCTAAAGTGGATGCACCATTTTACATTCCCACTAGCAGTGTTGTTGTTCAGGCGCCCAGTCATGTCTGACTCTTTGCAACCCCATGGACTGCAGCACGTCAGGCCACCCTGCCCTCACCATCTCTCAAGAGTTTGCTCAAGTTCATGTTCATTGTATTGGTAATGCCGTCCCGCCATCTCATCCCCTGACACCCTCTTTTACTTCTGCCCTCGATCTTTCCCAGCATTAGGGACTTTTCCAGTGAGTCATCTGTTTGCATCAGATGACCAAAATACTGGAGCTTCAGCATCAGTCCTTCCAGTGAATATTCAGGGTTGATTTCACTTAAGATTGACCCGTTTTATCTCCTTGCTTTCCAAGCGACTTTCAGGAGTCTTCTCCAGCACCACAGTTTGAAGGCATCAATTCTTTGGTGTTCTGCCTTTACGGTCCAGCTCTTACAACCATACTTGACCACTGGGAAGACCATAGCCTTGACTATACAGACCTTTGTCAGCAGAGTAATGTCTCTGCTTTTCAATACAGTGTCTAGGTTTGTCATCGCTTTTCTGCCAAGAAGCAATCATCTGATTTCATGGCTGCAGTCACCGTCTGCAGTGATCTTGGAGCCCAAGAAGAGGAAATCTGTCACTACTTTCACCTTTTCCCCTTCTATTTGCCATGCAGTAATTGGGCTGGATGCCATGGTCTTAGCTTTTTTTTAAAAATTAATTTATTTATTTTCACTTATTTTTATTAGTTGGAGGCTAATTACTTTACATCATTGCAGTGGTTTTTGTCATACATTGAAATGAATTAGCCATGGATTTACATGTATTCCCCATCCCGATCCCTCTGGGTCTTCCCGTTGCACCAGGCCCGAGCACTTGTCTCATGCACCCAATCTGGGCTGGTGATCTGTTTCACCCTAGATAATATACATATTTCAATGCTGTTCTCTTGAAACATCCCACCCTCGCCTTCTCCCAGAGTCCACAAGTCTGTTCTATACATCTGAGTCTCTTTTTCTGTTTTGCATATAGGGTTATTGTTACCATCTTTCTAAATTCCATATATATGTGTTAGTATACTGTAATGGTCTTTATCTTTCTGGCTTACTTCGCTCTGTATAATGGGCTCCAGTTTCATCCATCTCATTAGAACTGATTCCAATGAATTCTTTTTAATGGCTGAGTAATATTCCATGGTGTATATGTACCACAGCTTCCTCATCCATTCGTCTGCTGATGGGCATCTAGGTTGCTTCCATGTCCTGGCTATTATAAACAGTGCTGCGATGAACATTGGGGTGCACGTGTCTCTTTCAGATCTGGTTTCCTTGGTGTGTATGCCCAGAAGTGGGATTGCTGGGTCATATGGCAGTTCTATTTCCAGCTTTTTAAGAAATCTCCACACTGTTTTCCATAGTGGCTGTACTAATTTGCATTCCCACCAACAGTGTAAGAGGGTTCCCTTTTCTCCACACCCTCTCCAGCATTTATTGCTTGTAGACTTTTGGATAGCAGCCATCCTGACTGGAGTATAATGGTACCTCATTGTGGTTTTGATTTGCATTTCTCTGATAATGAGTGATGTTGAGCATCTTTTCATGTGTTTGTTAGCCATCTGTATGTCTTCCTTGGAGAAATGTCTGTTTAGTTCTTTGGCCCATTTTTTGATTGGGTCATTTATTTTTCTGGAGTTGAGCTGGAGGAGTTGCTTGTATATTTTTGAGATTAATCCTTTGTCTGTTGCTTCGTTTGCTATTATTTTCTCCCAATCTGAGGGCTGTCTTTTCACCTTGCTTATAGTTTCCTTTGTATGTTTAGTCTTAACTCGGCTCTTTCACTCTCCTCTTCCACCCTCATCAAGAGGCTCTTTAGTTCCTGCCATTAGCGCGGTGTCATCTACATATCTGAGGTTGTTGATATTGATGTTGATGTTGATGTTTCTCTCGCCTGTCTTGATTCTGGCTTGTAACTCATCCAGCCAGGCGTTTCTCTTGATGGACTCAGCATATAGGTTAAACAAACAGCGTGACAGCAGACAGCTGTACCAGCAGTGTATAAGGGTCCTAATCCTTCCACATCCTCTCCAACTCTTGTTAGTGTCTGTCTTATCAAAGCCATCCAAGTGGGTGAGAAGTGATAGCTCATTATAATTTCAATTTGCATTTCCCTAATGAATAATGATACTGGGCATCTTTTGTATGTCTTACTTGGAGAAATGTCTGTTCAAATCCTTGACCCATTTTTTGTTGTGTAGTCTTTTTATTATTGAATTTTAAGAATTCTTTATGTATTCTGGAGTAGGAAGTGGCAACCCACTCCAGTATTCTTGCCTGGAAATTTTTGTGGACAGAAAAGCCTGGTGGGCTACAGTCTATAGGGTTGTGAAGAGTCAGATACCATACCACTTACCACCACTGTATGTATTCTGGATACAAGTTACTTATAAGTTACATGATTTGGGTATATTTTCTCCTATGTTGTAAGTTATGTTTTCACTTTCTTGATAGTATTATGTGTACTTTGGCCTACTCTGTATCTTCCTGCCTACTGATTCAGTAGGTCCCATTGATTCTGTTTTCCATATTCATTGTTACTTTCATTGCCTCAAACCTAGACCATATTTACTGAAATCTTAGAGTTGGGCTTTACTTTAGGCTTGCTCCTGCTTTGAAAGTGAAATTGCTCAGTCGTGTCCGACTCTTTGTGACCCCGTGGACTGTAGACTACTAGGCTTCTCTGTCCATGGGATTCTCTAGGCAAGAGTACTGAAGAGGGTTGCAATTTCCTTCTCCAGGGAATCTTCCCGACCCAGGGATCAAGCCCCGGTCTCCTGCATTGCAGGCAGACGCTTTAACCTCTGAGCCACCAGGAAAGCCCACTCCTGCTTTAAGTCCATCCATAAATTATCCTTTCCTAACATTTTTCACAGCATGTCACACAGAAGTTTTCAGTGCTGACCCCAGTGCCCCCATTTAAAGCTCAGACTCGGCCTTCAGCAGGGTAGTACCAGTCATTCTTTTCAGATTTATCTCTCACTACCCCTGTCACTTGTAGAAGGAAGCACAGGCAGTGATGCCCATGCCCCCAGAGGTGGTCTTGAATGGAAGAAAGCTTTTGAGAGGGTCTTCTGGTGGTAATTTTACCATAAAACAGGACCTTGCCCTCAGTGTGATGGTACCAGTAACTCAGCTGCTTCAGTGTGCCGCACTCATAACACACTCAGCCTACAGGAAATTAAAGCAAAATGCTGTGTAGTTCATAATTTTTCTTTTCTGTGTTAATACGTGAGTTATGTTTTTTCTTTGTCCATTTCTGTTACTGTGGTTTTATAAAAAATAATTAGCAAGTTTTCTTATATCTCTGTTCCCTTTCCCCTTTCTTCCTCCTCTGAAACAGTTTATATAACATAGGAATTAGTTTTAAAGAATTTTCCCATAAAATATACTGGGCCTGGTGAGCTTTGGATGGTCATTTGCATATGCTTTGTCATTTCTCCACAGTTATTTATCTCTTTAGGTGTGTCTGTTCTTCTATGAAGTATTTTTTTCTTTTAATCAATGTGACATTGAAATATATTAGGGGAAAAATGTCTTCTGTTTTAAAAAGTTTCTGTCATGTGATTATATTTTGTTTCATTTCTTATTCCTAATTTTCTGAATTTGACATTGCTAATTTTACATTATTTGTTGTTGTTGTTCAGTCAGTCTTGTTGCTCAGTCACTAATCTTTTCTTCTTCGTTGTTAATCCCATTGTTATTCCCAGCCAGTGTTTGTCTTTTAATTTATAGTCCCAATTTTGGAGTTCCTGTGTGTTAGTTTTCCTGTGTACCTACCATGCTTAAGTTTTGTGAACATATGAAATCTAGAATTTTCTACCAATTGTAGATGTCTGTCGTTTCTGGGTCTGTTTCTGTTGATCAATTTTTTCTCTCTCTTTCCTTATTATAAATTATATTTTCCTTCTTTGCATGCAAGGTGATTTTTTTGTTGTTGTTGGATGGCATACATGAACTTTAACCTTAGTGGGTTCTAGATTTTTTGTGTTGTATAAATATCCTTAAGCTTTGTTCTGGAGCACATTTAAGTTACTAGGAAATATTTTTATCCTTTTGAGGCTTGTTTTTAAACTTTATTGAATGGAACCAGAATTACATTTTGTCTGAAGCTAATTTGTTCCCACTGTTGAGGCAAGACTCTCCTAAATACTCAAGGTTTTACACTCAGGGAAGTTTTCTTCTATTAGATACTTTGATTATTCCTTCTGCTCCATTCATTTTGTTCTTCTTTCAAGGATGCTAACTAGCCATATGTTGGATCTTCTCTGTTCTCCTGTTATCTTCTACCTTGCTGTTATCCTATTTTTATCCTCCTGCATAAACCTGTGCTTCCACATTATTGATTCCATTTTCTACTCCTTACCGCCTGTTTAAATTTCTGCTGTCTTTTAGTTTCCTTATATCTTGTTCTTTTTGCATCATTCTACTGCTTTATCTTCCTTAAATTTCCATATACAGAAATCGTGTTTTCATGCTTGTGGAAAACATCAGTTTAAAAAGACTATCTAAACTGTACTCTTTGTTTATACTTTACTATTTTCTTCTTTTTGATTATTGTAGAATCTGTTTACAGAATAAAACAGTGTTGGGAAACATTTTGTTCGGGTCTGAAAGTTTCCCCCTTTTTGGGTAGATCATTTGGGGTTCTTTATGCCTGAATGCTGTTATAATCAACTGTTAGGTCTTTTGCTGGAGGATGGGCTGATGATATTGACATCAGTGTTATAACTTGAGTTTTAAAAAAAAAAAACCACAACTGGGCCTGGAGGCTAGGTTGAGACATTGTTAGGTAAACTTGAGCATGCACTTTGTTCTGTGTTGGTAAAATTGTTTTACCAGGGGCCAACTTGTGTTTCTGTGGTCTCGCTGACAAAGGATGGGCTATGTCTTTGCTTCCTTCCTGGGACTACTGATGAGCCCCCACCCTCTCATATCAAATCTTTAAAAATTTTCTGCTGAGGCAGTGTGCAACCTTTGGTGCCCAGTGCAGCCATCTCTGAATGTTGCCAGTGTGCAGGACCTTTCCTGTGGTCTGCCCTCTTTAACTATGGGCCTTCCTGATCACTGCTGCCAGAATTGCCTGGTGTAGCAGGGGGAGTTGCCAGGGCATGGTCTCCCTTTAGCCTGGCCCCATCTCCACTAGATCCTTAATTAAAATTTGTTATGTAAAGATAACTCTGATCCCTGCTTTTCAGGCTAATCTTTTTATTTCTTAGATTTTTTTGGTTTGGATGTAGTAGATGGAAAGAATTATATGCTGCTTTCAAGTCTTCCTCTTAGTCTGGTGACCACCAAAATTTATAGTGACAAGATATATAACTTTAGAATACACCATGTTCCCTCCTCTGAATTCCTCATGATTTGTAATTCTCTTATGGTGCTTATATCAGGCTTTCCTTTGAATAACAGGATTATATGCATGGGGGGGGGGGGTTGTATTTTTTTTTCATCCCCCTCAGTTCAGTTCAGTTCAGTCGCTCAGTTATGTCTGACTCTACGACCGGCCTCCCTGTCCATCACCAACTCCCGTAGTTCACCCAAACCCATGCCCATTGAGTCGGTGATGCCATCCAACTATCTCATCTTCTATTGTCCCCTTCTCTTCCTGCCTTCAATCTTTCCCAGCATCAGGATCTTTTCAAATGAGTCAGCTCTTTGCATCAGGTCGCCGAAGGATTGGAGTTTCAGCTTCAGCATCACTCCTTCCAATGAATATTCAGGACTGATTTCCTTCCTTTAAAATGAACTGGTTGGATCTTCTTGCAGTCCAAGGGACTCTGAAAGAGTCTTCTCCAACACCACGGTTCAAAAGCATCAATTCTTCGGTGCTCAACTTTATAGTCCAACTCTCACATTCATACATGACCACTGGAAAAATCATAGTCTTGACTAGACGGACCTTTGTTGACTAGTCTCTGCTTTTCAACATGCTGTCTAGGTTGGTCATAACTTTCCTTCCAAGGAGTAAGCGTCTTTTAACTTCATGGCTGCACTCACCATCTTCAGTGATTTTTGAGCCCAGAAAAATAAACTTTAGAATAATCCCCCTACCGGATCATAAACTCTGGACAGTGACGTTCTTCATCGTCTTAGAAATCCCCCTAGTACTGTGCACATAGTGTTTTATGTTGTGGTACTTTTTAAAATGTTCTTTTGTGGTGAGTTAATTACTTCTGTGAAACTCTTAGCAATTGAAATAGCAACTACTATTATGTAGGCATCAGTTGCCTGTGAATTTGTAAATATTTTCTGCTTTGTTGTGCTGTCGTGTCCAACTCTTTGCGACCCCATGGACTGTAGCCTGCCAGGCTCCTCTGTCCATGAAATTTTCTAGGCCAGAATCCTGGAGCAGGTTGCTGTTTTGTACTCCAAGGGATCTTCCGTACCTGGTGATCAAACGCCATGACTTTGGTGTCTCCTTCATTAGTAGGTGGGTTCTTTACCACAGCGCTACCTGGAAAGCCCAATATTGCTTATATAACTTTACATGTTACAAAATAAGAGAATATGTCAAAGTGCCAAAATCATTCAAGTTTAAGGGTAGAGGTCAAATGTTTATTAAATTACAAAGATTATTACCATCTTGACAGAATTAAAATAAAGTTACATGATCTTTTTCCAATTGTTTTTGTGAAAAATAACATGTCATTCAATTTCTACTTTAACCATTTTCAGGTTACTTATATTCCAGTATTGTGCATGACATGACTTATATTCCAGTATATTACAGTCAGCACCACTTTCTAGTTCCAAAATATTTTCATCACCCCAAATAGACACTCTATCCATTAAGCAATAACTCCCCATTCCTTATTCAGCCGAACCCGTGACAACCTCTAATCTACTTTCTCTGTATTTGTCTCTTCTAGATATTTCACAAAAGTAGAATTCTACAACATTTGTACTTCGTTTCTGACTTCCCTGAATGTCTAGCTTGTTGAGTGTAGTGTTTTCAGTGTTCGCCCACATTGTAGTGTGTATCAGCCTCATTCCTTTCTGTCATGTTCTCTGTGTGTCTTCTCAATATGATTGACTTACAATGTTGTTGAAGTCCTCTCTTTCCTTACAGAGCTTTTGTCCTATTTTTCTAGAGGTGTTGAAGTCTCCACCTGTTAGTGTACATCTGTATGTTTCTCTCTTCAGTTCTGTTCATTTCTGCTTCATATATATTTCTTTCATTAGGTGCGTATATGTTTTTGTCATACATTCTTGAAAGTGAAATTTTTATCAGTATATAATATCCATCTTTGTTCTTGTGACCTTTTTGACTTAAAATCTATTTTGTCTGATAATAATATAGTCACCCCAGCTCTCTTTTGGTTTCTCTTTGCATGAATCACCTTTTCCATTATTTTACTTTGAACATCCTTGTGCCTTTGTAACTAAAGTGAGTCTCTTATAAACAATGTATAGACCGTGTTTTTTAACCCATTTTCCAAGTCTCTTGCCTTTTAATTGGAGAGCTTAATCTACTTCATCACTGATAAAGAAGGATTTATTTCTACTGTTTATTTCTAGCTATTTTCTGTGTATCTTATATGTTTTTTGTTTCCCTTATTGCCTTTTAGGTTTTTGGTAAACATTTCTTTCATCGTCTCAGTCTTTGCCTCCTTTCTTTTTGCTAGATCCTGAATCATATTCACTGTCATTATTCTACATTCTTTTTCTGGAAGATTGCCTATCTCCACTTCTTTTATTTGTTTTTCTGGAATTTTATTTTGTCCCTTCATCTGGGACGTAACTTCCTGCTTTTTCATGCTGATTAACTTTCTGTAAAGTGATTTTGTTTTAGTTGTGGGATTGTGGTTCTTGCTGCTTCTGTCTGCCCTCTGATGGAGGAGGGTAAGAGGTTTGTGTAAGCTTCCTGATTGGAGATTACTGGTGGTGGGAAAAACTGGGTCTTGCTTGGTGGACAGGGCCTTGCTCTGTAAAGCTTTAATCCAGTTATCTGCTGATGGGTGGGGTTGCGCTCCCTCCCTGGTAGTTTTTGGGCCTAAGGCGATCCAGCCCTCTGGTCTCTGGGCTCTGTGGTCAGGGTGATGGCAACCTCCAAAAGAGTTGAAGAGAAGACCTTCCCAGACAGCTGCTGCCAGTTCCCCCATCTCTGTGGTCAGCCCCTGCTGACCCACACCTCCACTGGAGACCCTCCAACATGAGCAGGTAGTTTTAGATCAGTTTCCTGTGGAGTCATTGCTGCTTTACTCTGAAGCTTGGTGTCCGCAAGATTTTGTTTGTGCCCTCCAAGACTGAAGTGGAGTCTCTGTTTCTCCCAGTCCTGTGGAAGTCTTGTAATCAACTCCTACTGGCCTTCAAGGTCAGATTCCCTGGGGATTCCCAATCCCTTATTGAGTCCCCAGGCTGGGCAGCCTGACATGGGATTTAGAACCGTCACAACAGTGGGAAAACTTCTTTGGTATTATTGTTCTCCAGTTCGTGGATCACCCACCCAGCAGGTATGGGATTAGATTTTATTGTGATTGTGCCCCTCCTGCGGTTTCACAGCGGCTTCTTCTTTCTCTTTGGATGAGGGGTATCTTTTTTTGGTAGGTTCCAGCGTCCTCCTGTCAATGGCTGTTCAACAGTTAGTTGTGATTTTGGTGCTCTCGCAGGAGGACTTGAGTGCACGTCCTTCTACTCCACCATCTTGAACCCCCCCTTATTGCCTTTTAGTTGAGATTTTTATTTTATATATTGTTTTGATTTCCTTCTTTCCTTTTTATGTATATTTTTAGTTATTAGTAGTTATCTTGAAGTTTACAATTAACATCTTAAAACTTAGAACAAACTATTATCAGTAGTATATTAAAAAGCAGAGGTAATACTTTGCCGACAAAGGACCGTCTAGTTAAAGCTATGGTTTTTCCAGTAGTTATATATGGATGTGAGCTTTGGACCGTAAAGAAAGCTGAGCGCCGAAGAATTGATACTTTTGAACTGTGATATTGGAGAAGACTCTTGAGAGTCCCTTGGACTGCAAGGGACTTAGACTGCAAACCAGTCAATCCTAAAGGAAATCAGTCCTGAATATTCATTGGAAGGACTGATGCTAAAGCGCCAGTACTTGGGCCACCTGATGCAAAGAACTGACTCATTGGAAAAGACCTTGATGCTGGAAAAGATTGAAGACAGGAGAAGGGGACGACAGAGAATAAGTTAGTTGGATGGCATCACCAACTCGATGGACATGAGTTTGAGCAAACTCTGGGAGTTGGTGATGGACAGGGAGGCCTGGCGTGCTGCAGTCCATGGGGTCGCAAAGAGTCGGACATGACTGAGCAGCTTAACTGACTGATCGGTAATATGTGAAAACTCTACTCCTATACATCTTCATCCCTCCCTCTTCATATTG